TCATATGATTTTATAAATCATATGATGGACCCTTAAACTTGTTCTACACTTATAGAGGTGTAGAATGAGGGTTTGGAGGGTTAAGTTTAACCATGAACGGAGTTATGACCGGAGTAAGACCGGTTCACCGGAAAACACCTTCTTGGAAGGTTTTGATGTTTATACCACTTTTGGTTGTGAAACCTTGTTAGGAATTTTACCAAGGTATTCTAAACTTCTCAAGGAACCTAGGAGTGGCCGGAAAGTCGCCGGAGCCGCCGGAGTTTTCGCCGGAAAATTCAAAGGTCGCCGGAGTTCAAACAAAGGGGATAAAAACTCGCTAGCGTCATTTCAAGGTGAGTGGACGACTACGTGTCTTGTAACTCTTGGTTCAAACGTGGGATTACCTAAATAAAATCATAACCATGATTTGAGAAATGATGAAATGGATTAAAATGCATGATTAGTCATGGTGTATATGACTAATGAAAAAAATAGATTAATTTATTAATTAATCATTAGTACGTAGTATATATTTCTTAATGCATAAGAGGATATACTTGAACCATGTATGAGATAAGCTCGAATAATCTAGTAAGTGAATATGAAAGGGTTGTAAAGTTGTGATTATCCATATTAAATATGGATTATGGAAGTATTATATGATTAATAAAAAAATAGATCAATTTATTAATTAATCATGAGTATATTTTTCTTAAATGAATAAGAAGGTATACTTGAACCGTGTATGTCATTAACTAGAGTTATCTAGTAAAGAAATATAAAAAAGATATGTGATATGTGATTAGTCATATTAATTATGGATTATGGAAATATGGCATAATTAATGATTAATCAATTAATGGTATGAATAAAAGGTTGTAAGAAAGGATCATGAGCCATGATTTGGGCTTGGGCATGAGATTACTCAAATAAAACAGAATGATATTCCATGAAATGTTAAATACATCTAAGAATGTATTAAGGAAAGATTTACTTATTAATAGTATTAATAAGTGTATTTAATATGCTTTAATTTGGACAGAAAATGATTATAAATTATGTGTGATGATTTGGACGTCCAAAATAATATTTTTGGACTAAGAATGACTTGTTGCATAAGCGTATAAAATTTCGTGGAAATCGGACCCCGTTTGGATGGTCAAACGGGCGTTGACCAAAATGTTGACCGGTTGCCCAGGGGGTAACCGGCGCCGGTTATAGGCAAAACCGGCGCCGGTTATGGTTCGGTTTACTCAAGAAAATCAGTAAACCGGCGCCGGTTATGGGTAAAACCGGCGCCGGTTATGTCTCGGCTTTCAGGACTGATTTTTGCTAAAAACCCAAATCGGACCCGGTTTGACGTGGGATAAATTCTAGCCATCCCATATATGAATATTTTGCATGGAATTGCATGAAATATGATGTTTAAAATGATAAGCTTTGGAATACGGTTTAAACGCTAAGACTTGGACTAGTCGTTAGTAAAGAAATTATAGACCACGACTGGGCGAGGTGCGTGGTAGATTATACATGGCGGGTGAATACCCGGGACCAAGTAAGGTTAAGTAATACTCTGTAGGACCAGGAGGAGTCCTCTACACTCAAACGTTAACAAGGGCCCGTGTAGTCCTTGAGGTGTGTTAACCTCCAGTAAATTACACATAGGTAACAAGGGCAAGTGCAGTCCTTGAGGTGAGTTAACCTCCATCAAAGTGCATATAGGTAACAAGGGCAAATGCAGTCCTTGAGGTGTGTTTAACCTCCATCAAATTGCATATAGGTAACAAGGGCAAATGCAGTCCTTGAGGTGTGTTTAACCTCCATCAAATTGCATATAGGTAACAAGGGCAAATGCAGTCCTTGAGGTGTGTTAACCTCCATCAAAGTGCATATAGGTAACAAGGGCAAGTGTAGTCCTTGAGGTGTGTTAACCTCCAGTAAATTACACATAGGATGAGGGTGTATGCGTACTCCTCAAGGCGGGGTTATCCCAGAAATGAAAACTATGATAGCAAGGACGGATAGTCCTCGCGGTAGGTGAACATCAAGGTAATGATGTTAAATGATTAAACGTGCTTGATCGGGAACGAGTTTCCGATATGATATTTTCCTTGGTCTAAGAATTGATTTAAACCACGTCCGTGATATGAGAGTCTGAATGGCCCCACAGTAATTATATCTTGATATCGGGTGAGTTAGCCTGCGGGTGACTCCACTCGAGGGTGAGATACGGGAAGGGTGAATTTAATGAGGCTGTCACGCCTAAATGATTTGAAGGACAAATGGGCCCACGGGCCAGATATTTTACTCATATGTATATATGTATACATTTTGTTTTGAAAAGGGGTAGCTGAGTTATGCCCATAATTATACTATCACCCTATTTTGAGGGTCTCACGTGAGAAACGTTAGTTACATTACATACAGTTTGCCCTCACCAGTACTTTTCTGTAGTACTGATCCCTCGGGGGAACCACCCTTTCAGGTTGAAGCTAGAGCTTACTTCCTGCACCCGTTGCTCGGGAGATCGATGGAGAGAAGACGTGGTTCGTGCTTCCTCTGGTTCTATTTCTAAATAATTAAATAATGCTCATGGAACTATTTTGACTTATAAATTAATGGAGCCTGCGAGCTCTTGTTTTACCCTTGTGTGGGTTCTTATTAAACACTTATATTCCGCGATGTGTTGAATTGTATGTTGATGTTGTTATGTATGTTTACTAATCGGTTTTGGCATATGTATCTATCGGACGTCTTGTGCAATTCGGTAAGGATGAACTGCGGTTATTCTTATTGGGTTGTACGACGGTTGTCCACGTGGCACAGACGCGGTCTGGGGCGTGACACTATGTGAGATTGAAATGTGCACTATGTGAAGCTGAAATGTGCAGAATAAAAAGTACGATGTGATGTTATTTTTGTACTTTTTTTTCGCACATATCAGTTTCATCTAATGCACACTTGAGTTTAAATTTTTATGTTGCACATTTCAATATCATTTAATGCACATTTCAGTTTCACCAAATGCACAATTTGGTTCCACATAATACAATCCAACGGTCCAGATTCGTTCTCATTTTTCTCCTAAGATCTGTTCTTACCGGAACCGCTCCATATATATATATATATATATGTATATATATATAGAGGACTTTTCATGTCCAGCCGGCCTGACGGGAACCGCCGTCCGGACGAGGGCATTTCGGGCACTTCCCGATGGAATTTTTTGATGAAATTTTTTGAGCATGTTCTTCATGAAGTCTAGTTTATCCATACCAAATTTCAGCTCAAAATTCGATCGGGAAGGCATTCAAATAATTTCTTGAAGTTAACTGGGCAGTTCATACATATAAACTGCCCAGTTAACTTCACAAAATTATTTGAATGCCTTCCCGATCGAATTTTGAGCTGAAATTTGGTATGGATAAACTAGACTTCATGAAGAACATGCTAAAAAACTTTCATCAAAAAATTCCATCGGGAAGTGCCCGAAATGCCCTCGGCCGGACGGCGGTTCCCGTCAGGCCGGCTGGACAAGAAGACTACTCTCTCTCTCTCTCTCTCTCTCTCTCTCTATATATATATATATATATATATATATATATATATATATATATCAACGTACATTCTTTATACCATTCCAATGACGATATACTATACGTTGTGTTGGTCCTGAGCTATTTCCTGCTAACATGTTACGTTCTTGAAAATTTAATATTTGATCGACTGTGTTTATCAAAGTACATTAATGTGCATTTTGCACCTACATAGAGAATTTTTTATCCCAGTAACTTTTCAAATATGATTTTTTTGTATTTTTCGAAATATTATGAGAGTGCTAACTGTTTGCATTTTTTAGATTTTTTGTAGGGACAATTGTGTGTGTGACTTCATTACCAAATGCCCTATATATAGAGAGATTAAGATTTATAAGAATGGGTCAATAGGTTCATAATACTCAATTTACACAAAATGATCTTAATACACACATATTTTATACACCCAATAACACATTACACAGAGTTTTCTTCAACATGATTGTTAATATTGGTTGATGCACGCATGAAGTAATAGTTAAAATCAGATCGATGTGAATAACACTCTTCTATTTGTTATGTATTTAAAAGTTTACTACATTTTCCCCTTTTGATAAGTTTTTCCTTTAAAAATACTCAATTACCTTTAATTCTTCTACTTTTTCATATTTTCTCCTACTTTTTCTTCAATATTCATATTCATTACCCCTACTATTCTTCCCTTAAATCTTGTGTCAAGACCTAATGTAGGATCATTTAAATAAAAAGGGATTAACAAAGAAAGCACAGCCTCACAAGCACCTATTCAACTTTTGATGGTAGAAGGTGATCTTGCACACCAGCATTCTTCTGAGGTCTCACATTTTCGTGAGCTTTTTAATCGAGATTGGACGATCAGAGTTGAGCGTATCTACCGAGAGGGTAACCGGACAACAAACTTTTTAGCTAGCCTAAGTCATAGATTACCTATTGGTGTTCATTCTATTTCTAATGGTGATTCTAGATTATCTTTACACATTTTGTTGATTTACTTTTTGATTTTCCAGTCTCATTCTAATGGTGATTCTGGATTATCTTTACGCATTTTGTTGATTTACTTTGTGATTTTCCAGTCTCATTTAATCATTAATGACAGATTGGAGCTATGGGTGGCGTTTGCTCCTACTACCTCCGTAACATTGGGATGTTCCTATTTGAAAAGTAGGTAGATTAAGAATAGTGAAAGGAGATATGTATTATTAGGGGTATGATGGGAAGATAGTGCAATAATGTGATGAAATGAAGGATAAATTCAAAAAAAGTAGGTGTAATAGTATATTATTTTTAAAATTATTAAGGGTATGATGAGAAGATTTAGAAATAGGAAAATATTAGTGTTACATCCAAAAAAGGAAAGTAAGAAAATATTTATGTTATGGAGGTAGTAGTTTTTAACAAAAGAAAGCAGAGCCTCTCTCATTTTAAAAATCCTAAAAGACAAAGTGAAGGGCGGGGCATCTCTGTGATTCTCCGCGACGTTAAATGGGTGGGAGGAGGGCCCACCCACCGCATGGCAAACAAGGACGGGGAGCGAGGCATCCTGGAAAATTCTTGTCATCTTTCGAACCAAACAGGGCACGATGCTCACTCTCCACCCATCAATCAATTGGGTTTCCTAGGCAAATCCAGCTCCGTTTTCCCTGCTAAATAATGTGTTCTCTTCATTTTACACTCTAAATGGAATCCTCAGAAACCTCAGAGCAAGAGGCAAGCTCCAATTCAGCTGGGCATGGCGATTCTCTTCCACCAACACCACTTCCGCAGGTTCCCATAATCATTATTGTCATTATTACTACTACCACTACTACTATTATGGTTATTACTATGATTACAATCGTCTCTCTGTCTTTTTCTCTATCTGGTTTTGTTTTTCTGCTTCATGTTTACTTATATCTCACTGCTTACACTAATTTTTTCAAGACGCTGTGGTAAGCCAGCTGGACGTGTTTCATATTCTTAAGTTATATAGATTGGTACAAGTGAGATGTATTGAGCATATCATTGATGAAATTGGATTCGCCGGAGCATCTATGATGAAATTGGATCGCCCTGGTTCGTTTTGTTTCTAAAAAAATATTTTCTGGATTGTGTTTGTCAGTCTCACAGAAATACATAACAGTTTGAGTAATGTGTAAAGATGTTCCTCAGTTTGGCATCACGAATTATTTACATATCCTCAATTGCTTATATTTGTGTAGAAAATGGCTTTCCATTTTGAAAATGGGAAGCCATTTTAGTGAACTAGTTATACATTCTCTTGTGAGACGAACATTAATATATTGTGTATAGAACAACTAAATTTGCAATAAAACACTTTCGACAACAAGTGGTTTTCTTGCAATCAAACATGAAATATATGGAGGATGTTAACTTGCTCCTTATGGACCATGTTCATGAGGTGGCTGAGCATATTCAACCAACTCATAAAAACGGATCCCATGTTTATGAGGGGGCTGCATGTGTTCAGCCACCTGACCACCTCATCAACGTGCTGTATGCATTTGTATCCAACTATCCATCATCGGCCTCTCAGAATGCTAGAAGTCAGTAAGGAATCATTTGATGACACGCCATCAGCTTCATTAATTTGAAAGTACTTCACTAATGCTTGGTATGTTGTAGCAGACTACATGCACCATTCTCTCCTCTGTCCCTTGAAGTATCTCAGTGATGGACTTGGCATGCTTCTTAAGAGTGATTTTTCACTAGTTTTTCCTTATAGTGCCATTGACACACCGCACACAACCTTTAAGGTGGGAAGACAATGTGTAATTTTGTCATTTTACAAGCAAAAGCTAAATAAAGAGAGGTGAGTCTTATTTTGATACTGCCAGAGTGGGGAAGTGTGAAGTTCATGAAGTGGCTGATGAAGTATTTATTGATTGGGCAAAACTGCATAACAGAATCCTTATTCGAAATTATAATTAGGTCTTGGTTACTCATGTTGGCCATATAGTTCGCGTGAACCAAACTACACTAAAAGATTGAGTCCAATCAATTACCTAGTCTAACTCAATACAACACCCAAGCCTTAGCCCCAAAAGTGTTTGGGGTTGGCTAACTCAATTCTTTTTAAAAATAAATCCATGTCTCTATTTACTATGTCTACATCAGACTCTGCACAGTTCACAGTGCACATATGACACCATATAACTCAAATCCTGTGTCTTGACTGCAGGCTGATTTCAACAAGAAAGATTCTGCAAAAGCTGTTTTAAATTCAAGCCCATCTGCAAGGAATTCAGATCTATGTCTTCAAATACCTCCAAGAAATGACGGTATTGGGAGTAGGAGCCACACTAAGTGCTTACTTCAATCCCCAGATGTTTCAAAGGGCAGTTCATCAAGCAAGAGATTTCTTAGTGCTTTAAGCTTCAAGAGAAAGGCTTCTATACCTGATAGTGAAAGAAGCTCTCTTCTCCGTTTGGATCCCAAACCAGCTCCTGAAAGCCCTAATTTTTTAAATTCGCTCTCCAGTTTGAATTGGAAAAGATGTACTTCTTTACCCGTGACACCTGCTTCAAACTCCTCTCCATCTCCTACTCTAAATTCTGCAAGGGCATTCAGTGAACGCCAGAAGTTACAAGTAACTTGTCTCCAAGCTTTTGACCCTTCAGCCTTGTTATTCCTCTCATTCTTTTGACATGACAATCAATATGGAATCTAATGACAGTTTTTAGAAAGATGAACTTTTGGTAAATAAAGGTGCATAACATTTAGGCCCCATTTGATTCTTGGAAAATAAGATGATGTGAAAAATATTTTCCATGCAAAATGTTTTATCTCGAAAATGATTTTTGGGAAAAAAGTTACGTTGGAAAATATATTCCAAGGAAATATGTATAGCATAAGAAAACTGACTTCCTTCTTTCAAAGGAGAAAGAGGAAGTGATTTTTCCAAATAATGTTAAGGGTATCTTTGGATAAGAAAAATGCTATCTATTTCTTTACTTTTACACTAAAATGGCTTCCTCCTTTCATACTTTTACACCCTCTCTCCTACTTTTTCTATATTATTCATTACCCCCCTACTACTTCCCTCCTTAAATAATGTGCCAAAGCCGTATGTAGCGATCATTAAAATACAGAATATTTTGGTTCAAATATTTGGTATTATTAAAAATTATTTCCAAAATACGTATTATTATTGGTTTACAAGTGATAGTTGATATTATTTATAGTTATTTTCCAGTATTTATACGTAGTATATCATTTGACAGTCTTTGTAAAATAATAAATAAATAAATAAACTAAGTTTAGACAAATATTTATTATATTTTAAACGTGGAACATATCTTTTACTTTATCCCACACTTTCTTTCCTTTCGGGTTTCTTCTATATATCCTCCTTATTTTATTTCCCTATTGATTTTCAAGTTCCGAACAGACCTTAACGAACCAAGGAAAATATGTTTCTTCACGGAAATGATTTCATGTGCCAAATATAGGAAAATACAATAAACTTGTTCCTAGAAACAAAAAAGGCATGAAGTGATGTCGATTTTATCATTGTTAGATAATTGATACAATGAGATAAGCTATAACCCAAGTAGGCTTATTTTTACTTATGTGGCCTTTAATGGATGCTAGCGGATACAAATATGCAACTATATGCATAACAAACAGTTTCTGGTTTTAGTCATCGCGAATAGGTACATCTAAAACTGCTGTTACAAGGTCACTTTCTGTTGTCATTGTGAGATCCTTTTCCACACATGAAGAGCATTCCCCTAGTACCGGTGATGGTACGTCGTATAAATTTCTATTTGCATTCTTATGTTATTCATCTAGGTGGCTTTACTGTATTTCAAGATCCTTCCAGTGTACAACAAAAACAACATCACACCACTGCTGCAAAGGCTCCCACTTATGGTGGGGTAAGGGGGTCGGATGCAAACAGTCTAACCCATGTACTAAAGCACAGAGACACTGTTTACGGATGACCCATGATGAAAATCGCGTAAAAATTACATGAACTGACTATTGTTTCATAACAAAGAAGCACAAACAGTTTAGTAAGCCATTTTGCTTTATTCCATCATATTCTCAAGCCAAAAAATAGTGAGTCATTGGCTCCATTTGAAAATGATGGAAGAAGATCCTTCTTGTGTATTTATAAGAAATATCCCTAAAGCATTGATTTCCTGAATTGCAATTAAATTGGAGAAATAGTCTTGTACAGTTAATGATCAACTAACATAGATTTTTCTTCATCAATACATAGTTTAAATAGTGAGTCCTTGGCTCCTTTGAAAATGATGGAAGAAGATCCTTCGTGTTTATTTATAAGAAATATCCCTAAAGCATTGATTTCCTGAATTGCATGATAAAACATAGTTACATTTGTTCATTGACCATGAAAAACTGAGATTTTTTGATAAAGATCCATTTTAAAAACATTAGTCATCCTTTTTTTAGTCTCTCTCCCAACCTCCTTGTAAAGAAGAGGAACAGCCTTGGCTCATAGAAGTCCAGTCTGACATTACCACGGTCTAAAAGCCACACTCGAGTTTTGCCCCCCACCCCACTCCCACATCAGTTTTTAATATTACATAAATCTTTATTGGAGGAGAAGAGGCACTACAGACAGTGTAAATTACAGGATAAGTACTAACAAAAAATAAATTCATAGGGACCCAAAGTAGAAAATATTATATTTGAAAAGACAAAAAAATATATTTAAGATATCTTCTAATAATAACTCTTGGAGTTGGCAACTTACATTATGTGAACTAATTAGCTGTGCCTTGTCATCCTTTGAATAAAAATCTAGAAATTACAGCTGCCCCTGAGGATGAGGATCGTGAGATTCCCGAAGAGGAAGCGGTGTGCAGAATATGTTTTGATGCGTGCACAGAAGGAAACACACTTAAGATGGAATGTAGCTGCAAAGGTGACCTTAGGCTTGTACATGAGGAGTGTGCAATCAAGTGGTTTAGCATTAAAGGGAACAAAACGTGTGAGGTGTGTAGGCAAGAAGTGATGAATTTGCCTGTTACATTGCTTCGAGTGCAAAGCACTGCTCAACAAGATGTCAGGCAGATGCAGCCTCACTGGCAGAATTTGAACTCACAACAGCCAATAAGGTGAAACATCCTCTATTCCTCTGTGGAGTATATGGTAATATTTATTTTAAAATTTAAAAAGTTTCCAAAATAGCTAGGCACGGTTGTGGGGTGTTTTGTCTACCTTGAATCTAGCGTGACCATGTACATTTATTTATACAATACTCCACACCTTGACGGAAGTCTTTAGGGACATTTTCTAATTTCTATGATTTGTTTGGATTAAATGGCGTAGTCTGCTGAATTTTCTTAAATGTAAAGCATTTTGGTAACATTCATTGTTCTATTTATTCATTATCTCATTATATTGATAAGCAGGAAAAAAAGTTTTGGCTACCAAACGAATCATTATACTTAAGTAGGAAGAAGTTTTCATTTCGCGAGTAACCATGTTTTCTCTCTTTTTTTTTTCTTTTTTTGGGGGGAGGGGGGTATTTACCAAGTTATAGGTATTACCGTATTATCTCTACCATTCTTAATCACAGCTTTAGTTGTTGCTGTTGAAAGTTTATAAAAAGGTTATTGTGCATGATAAATTGATAAAGTGACAATAAGCTTTATATTAATATAATAATTAATAATAAACTTGTATTTAAATTAGTCTACATATTCTTTCTTTCTAATAAATTAACAAGTTATATTCTTGCATGTATCCAGTGCTTGGCAGGATTTCGTTGTACTTGTATTGATTAGTACAATATGCTACTTCTTTTTCATTGAGCAATTGCTGGTGAGTAATTTAACTTTTGAGATGTACTTTCCATTTTTATTAGAGCTGAGTTCTGAAGTTATAGCTTCTAAAGACTTGGAAGTAATCGAGCTATACAATAACAACATTGAAGCCTTAGTCTCAAAAGATTTTGGGGTCAGCTAACATGAATCGATACATGATATTAGAGCCAATAGGAAAAACAAGATAAGGTATGATGGAAAAGATAAAAAAGGATAAGATAAAGATAAATTTAAGCTATAGATTAAAATGATAAGATAAAAAGGATAAAAGAATATACACGCAGTCACGCACACACACACACACACACATAGAGAGAGAGTAATCTTCCAGTCAAGAATTTCCTGACCGGAGCGCCGTTCGGGCATCTCGGTTTGAGGTGTTTCTGGGTGGTAATTTTTTGATGAAATATTGTAATCATGTTCTTCATGAAGTGTAGATTATATTATGTCCACCAAATTCCAGCTTAAAATTCAATTGGGAAGTCAATTAAATAAATTATTAAATAAAATTGCGCCAATATATTTATACACAACACAATTTTTTCAGTGATTTATTTAACTGACTTTCCGATTGAATTTTTAGCGGAAGTTTGGTAGACATAATTTACAGTTTATGGAGAACATGACCACAAATTTTCATTAAAAAATCCACCTGGAAGCACCTCAAAGCTAGGTGCCTGGACGTCCGAAAATTCCAGACAGGATTTCTGGTGTGTATATATATAGAGAGAGAGAGTAATCTTCCGGTCAGGAATTTCCTGACCGGAGCGCTGTCCGGCCTCCTCCTTTTGGGGGCCTTCCCGGTGGTATTTTTTGCTCAAATTTTTTGTGTATGTTCCTCATCAAGTCTAGTTCATCCATACCAAATTTCAGCAAAAAATTCAATCGTGAAGGTCGTCAAATGATTTTTGAAAGTTAACTGGTCCGGAATATGTATTTTCCGGACCAGTTAACTTGAAAAAATCATTTGACGACCTTTCCGATTGAACTTTTTGCTGAAATTTGGTATGGATGAACTAGACTTGATGAGGAACATACACAAAAAATTTGATCAAAAAATACCACCGGCAAGGCCCCCAAATGAAGGAGGCCGGACGGGGCTCCTGTCCGGAAATTCCGGACAGGAATAATCCTGTATATATATATATATATATATATATATATATAATAAAAAGGATAAAATGATAAATAACATGGGAAAGATAAAGAAAGTAAGAGATTAATCCTCCATATGTCCTTCACTTTGCTCTCTCCAATGCTATACTCTCCTGCAACCCAAGAAGAAGTATATACTCCACGAATTCACTTCTGTTTTGCCTTTCCTCCCTATGCACCTTGCATGTTCTCCACACCTGTCAACTCGTCTAACATGTGCATCATTCGGTCTTCTATGCACATGACCAAACCACCGCAATCGAGACTCCCGCATCTTATTTTCAATGTGTTACTCTCATCTTTTGTCTAATTCCTCAAGCGGTCGTCTTTTCTAATATTTGAAGTAATTAGTTGTACGAAGTCAAATTTCTAGTGTTAGAAAAGTGAGTAAAAGTTTGTATTAATTTTAAGACATTGGAAATGAATAGATTATTCTCACTTCCATGCTCCTCTGAATGAATTTTTTTGCCCTATTGCATTACAACTAAATATAATGAAACTAAACCAACCAAATGGGGAGCATGTTTGCCATCTTGTGAAGCCTGCTTCCTACTTGAGACTAGAAAGGAGGAATGATCTATCAAGAATGTTAAACATGGTCATGCATATGTTCCCATGAGAGCAATTAATATTGTGCGTATATTATTGACTTTTTGTTTGTAGATCCGTGATATGAAAACTGGAGCACTAGTGATTGCTGCGCCATTCGCATTTGCATTGGGCATTTTGGGATCTGTTTTTGCAGTCATGCTAGGTATGTGTAAAAGTGAAAATAAAGTAAGATGAGGTGAGAGCCTTCACTAAATAACTCAAGCCTATATGTTTAAATTAATTAAGATGTATCTAGAATATTTTTAGACGATTGAGCAGAACCAGCCAATTCCACCACAATGTCAGAAAATTCAGTAGATACGAGCTATGTAGCCACTTCAACCATTTTATGTCTTACCAAACGTGCTCTAAATGTTTTTGAGCTCTTTTCATAAGGCTAAACTTGACTAAAATGGCTATAATGACGAATTTGTTGAGATTGTGGCTAAAATGGTCGAATTGGTTGAAACGTGTTTAGAATTCCATTCTCAATAAGCTCATTAGAAATAATACAAAAACGAGGTGTTATGAGTTTCATTTTCATTCATTTTGTAAAATAAAGTAACACTTGCACTACTTTCATTATCACTAATTTAGTCACAGCTCAAATAAGTTGGTGTTCCCTATGAAAAGTGTGATGCCAAACAGGCACTAGTTTTCTTATGTTAACTTTTGAGATTAGAAAGATATTTTGTTAATGAAATGTTCTCTTTCAATGCAGCAATTAAAGAGTACATATGGACATATACTGCTTTAGAATTTGCACTGGTGGCTTTGCTCCTAAACCTATTCTATACTACGGTGACATTTTAGTTTTCTTCACCTTTGAGCGTCTTATTTTTTTATTGGATTTCTCATTCTCCCCTAGCTGAAGGAAGAAAATGTCATTTTTGGCAGCTCCATTTTCCGGCCGCTTACTCAGTGATGATTTCATCTGTTGTGGGGTTTGGAGGCGTTGTTTGCCTCAACTTTTTGTACATGCAATATTTCAATTGGAGAGTTCAAGTTTCCCAAAGCTCTGAACCAGTATGAGCCCCAAAGATGATTGTTACTTGTAAATGCATGTTTTGCCCCCTCTCAGATCTAACAATGGGACAGCGTAGCTAGAGAGTATTATCCTGTGAGTGTTGAGGGAGTTTAGTGAAGGAATTGTCCAGGAAGCAGTTTTTGTGGTAACATTTTGGGGGTTTCAACTTTATCCGTTCTTATTGAATAAAATCTGGAATTTATGTATACGCTTTGTGCATTAAATAAGATTTCCAGCAATCCTATTTTGTGATGTCCCTGAGTCAACGCTCCCCGTCAAACATCTTATTTCTTGCTACATAAACCGCAAATATACTAAGGTGGTGGAATTTGTACGTAGAAATACATCAAAATCTATTGAAATCCATCCAATGTTTTAGAACACCATTATTTTCATAGATTCTACAGAAATTCAAATTGCAAACACTTAAATTCTAACAGAATTTTAAGTTCCATTAAAATCCTTAATGCATATGCCTACATTGTTTAGTTCAAAGAGCACAAGGATAATTATTGTTGGAACCCGAACCAGGTGAGGAAATACTTGGTGATTTGTGTTCTGGAGTCATCGGCCAGCTTAGTTTGTGAGTAGAAAAAATTGACTATCGCTAATTACGTCTCGAATTGTGTCCACCCTAAAGAAATGGTTGAGATTAGGATGATTGAGTAAGTGCGTAGTATTATTTTAAAAAGATATAATCTATTTTGTTATGATTTTGTTTGTCACTAAAAACACAAAGAAATTTATAAATACAGTACTTAAAATATAGCTGAGTTATTTTAAAAAGATGAGAGAAGGGGCAAATAAGGTCACGTACTAATAAAAAAAGGTCAAATAAGACCTTATTTAGGAGGCTTTGTCCGGCCATCGCCATTTGAGATGGTTCCTGGTGGAATTTTTTAATGAAATTTTTTGAGCATCTTATTCATTAAGTCTAGTTTACTCATACCAAATTTCAGTTAACAATTCAATCGGGAAGACGTTCAAATGAATTCTTGAAGATAACTGTGCTTTTAACTTCGCAGTTATCTTCAAGAATTCATTTGAACGCCTTCCCGATTGAATTGTTAGCTGAAATTTGGTATGAGTAATCTAGACTTAATGAATAAGATGCTCAAAAAATTTCATCAAAAAAATCCACCGGGAACCACCCCAAATGGCGACGGCGGGGCAGAGCCTCCTAAATAAGACCTTATTTGACCTTTTTTTGTTAGTACGTGGCCTTATTTGCCCCTTTTCCCTAAAAAGATATAATCTATTTTGTTATGATTTTGTTTGTCACTAAAAACACAAAGAAATTTATAAGTACAGTACTTGAAATATAGATGAGTTATCAATCTGATAGTTGAAAGATGAAATGTGTTAATATAGGGCTTGAATGATTAAAAATTGTACCTAAATTGTCATGAACTTTATTTTATTCTTACAAAAAAAATATTATGTATTTTATTAAACTAATAAACTTTGGTGATGAAAAACATAAAAAATTAGCCATAGAATTATTAAAACATTAAATAAAACAAATCTATGGAATTTTAGATCTTAAATTGTCAAGTTTTCAATTATTCAAGTCTTATTATTACATTTCATCTTGGGATAAGGGTCAGATAGGGCCTCGAACTCGAAAAAAAATGTCAAATAAGGTCATATTTCGGATGCTCTGTCTGGCCGACGCCATTTGGGGCAGTTCCCGATGGAATTTTTTGATGAAATTTTTTGAGCATCTTCCTCATTAAGTCTAGTTTACCCATACCAAATTTCAGCTAAAAACTCAACCGGGAAGGTAGTCAAATGAATTTTTGAAGATAACTGTGAAGTTAAACAACGCCGTACATTTCGGAAAATTATTTGACTACCTTCCCGGTTGAATTTTTAGCTGAAATTTGGTATGGGTAAACTAGACTTAATGAGGAAGATGCTCAAAAAATTGCATCAAAAAATTCCATCGGGAACCGCCCCAAATGGCGTCGGCCAGACAGAGCATCCGAAATATGACCTTATTTGACATTTTTTTTCGAGTTCGAGGCCCTATCTGACTCTTATCCCTTTCATCTTTCAAGTCAAGGATTAATCATTTATTTATCTTTCATGTTAGAAAATTTCAAAATGTACAATAGTTATTTAGTTAACAACACTTTATTCCACGATTCATTTTACTTGTCGTATTTGGTATTCCTCAAATAAACCGTATCTTTGTTATTTAATTATTTTTGTTATTATTCAATAATTGAAACACGGGTGTAATTCTCAAGGACTATATATGCCGCATATAATATGCGTATTTTTTAAGTGAGTAACTTTTATTTTTTCATGTGCTTTATTAAGGGCTTGTTTGCAAACTATTATTTTAAGTGTTTTTGGTTTTTTTTTAAGAAAAAAGCACTTATTTTACCAAACAATACCAACTTTTACTTTCTCGGTTTTCGTGTAGAATCTACTTTTTACTTTTTCTATTACACAAAAAGCACTTATTTTACCAAACACAACCAACTTTTACTACTAATCACTTTTTCCCAAAAAGTACTTTTATTTAAACACAAGTGGTTGCAAACAGAGCCTAAATGTTTTCAGAGTGTTTTTTTTTAAAGAAATTGTTTTCAAAGTTGGATTCAAAATATTTTCAATCTTGTCTTATAATGGGTAGGCATCCAATCTTTATAAGAGCATGACCTAATAATTGGTATATTACATCAAGCAATTCTTTAACTCCAAAAAGAAAAGTCTAGTTTATATACTAGAAATCGACATATGCAAAAGAAAAATAGCCACCTTTCAATGCTCTTTGTACATGAAGTTAAAATCAATAATGCTCCCCAGTTTTCAACTGTTACTGGTACTAGAACAACTTTCCTGCAAAACAATACGTAATCGGACAGCTAAGTAGCCTTGTTCTGGTTTCAAACTAGAAAAGGTGGGTTCATCACTCCAGTTTTTCATTTTAATTTACGAGATTCCCTTGACCTGTCCATTAATCATGCTGCTAACTGGCAAGGAACCAGGGTCGAGTTCAAAAGACCCATTAGGAATTCCTTCCCCTTCTGTTCCTTTCATCTTGAAACTAGAAACCTTGTGGGAGAATCTAAACACCTCTTTCAAGGAAATCCAAACCCTACTCTTCTCATCCTTGCGGGTAAAAAGGGACCTATACCCCTTCACCTTAACCAAAGGAGCAACATCCACACCGCCACTAGACTTACAGCAATCTGATAAGACCTCAACAAATTCATACTCAAACTTCGTCTTGATTTCAGTATGAGAGTGCCAGTTGATATCCCAGTCTTTAAAGATTGCCCAAGTTTCACCCTTTTTAGGATATATGTTGTAGAAAGATTCTTTTTTAGTCTTTTCTTCTTCACAGCAAACCATGTGAGACAGCATAGGAAGATGTTTGATGGTTTCAGAACTTCCTAATCTGAATTTACCACAAGAAACTGGTAAACCCTCAATTGCCCATTTCAATTCATCTTTATCATCAGGATCCGGTTCTAACCAGCTAATTTGCAACTTAAATCCAGGCAAGAAAATCTTGTTTATCACACCATAGAACCTAGGCATGGCATCCAACACATCATAAAAAGCCCATATTTGTCCAGCCTTGAAGCACTCTACTCTTCTGGTTTTGTCAAAATCATTCAAATCCGGACAAGGGTACTCGATGAATAAGCTTTCTTTAGAACTTACATCAGCTCTGGACTTTTTTGAAGGGTTGAAATTTTCAGAAGAATCACGCTGCCTTGACCGGGTTGATTTCCTAGTGATTTCTTCCTTCTTAGATTCCGCGCTTACTTTACTTTCGTTCCTGCCCTTTGCAGAAAGGTCCACAGGAACAGTTTGAGGATTGATCTTGACGTGACATTGGGGTGTATTTTTGTCATTTTGTTTCTGACCTGGAGTGTTTATCTCAGACGCAACAAACTGTGTCTTACATTGTTGACACCACAAGAGTTTTCCTTTCATTTCCACATAATACTGATATTTAACCGAACAAAATGAACAGACAGTCCAAAATGTTGGCTGTTGCTGCTGCTGCTGCTGCGGGGTGAAAACCGAACTGTATTTTGCCCTTGAGTGTGATTTTCCAATGCCCAAACGTTTCTGATCATAAAGGGAACGTTTTTCATGATCCAATAGCACCTTTTGGGCTTCACCAATCAACTTAAAGGCATCTGTGGCACCTGGGAACTTGTTCTTGTCAGGATGAAGTAAGAGTGCAAACTTACGGTACTGTTTCTTTACAATTTCTCCATTGGATGTGGGGTCCACCTTGAGAATACTATACCAATCATTCTCATTCCCACATATCTTGTTTTCTGAGGAACAATGCACCTCGCAGACTAGAATCATCTGTTCAATGTTATCTAGCTCGGGATAGAGCTTATTAGCTTTGGATGCAATCTTGAGAGCGCCACTAAAATCTTTACCTTCCATCTTCTTCTCTGCAATTTCCTTGGCCCTGATTGCTTCTTCTCTGTTGCACTCCATTTTCCACCCACAAAAAGCAGATAAAAACAGAACTCAATCAACACGTATTCATTTCAGTAATCAATGTGTACCTGCGCAAAACAACTACAGTGTTAATTCTGATTGAGTTAATAAACCCCTTCAACAAGGGCATATATGTCAAGAGAGTTAAGAATACAAAACAAACCATTCTTTATATGTATGTGTGTTACATAGAAATGGTGAATATACAGATAAACATGACCCCTAAGCATCCATTAAGCTTGCTTCTACTGCTGCACAAACAACTTTTAGAACATCTTAATTCTTTAAGGAAACAAAGAGACAAATGATCCCTGTCCTTGTAAATGAGAGTCTGCTTTCAGAGCCTTGTCTCCAGAAAAAACAAAAAGTCCAATTTAATCAAAAGAATCTAATTTTTCATTTACTTCTAAACGAGTTACAACGAAGTAACTAGTGACAGGTTCAGTTAAATCAACAAAATAAAATGAAAATTATACAAGTATGCATGACTTTTAATAGTTGTAATGTTGTACGTTGCCAAAAAAGTACATTGTTCATATTGACCAAACATGACTCTTACACATTAACATCCATATTTTATTTTGCGTGAATATATCATCTAATAAGTCCCCAGCTAAAAGGGACACAAAAAGGTGGAAGGTCATGAAGAGCACCAAATTCAAAGATATTATAAAAAATGCTTTCAACTACGGCAAGTTAAGTTTTCTTGAGAAAGTATCTTAAGGGAATAATGCAACTTAATAGACATGTCAGCAGATTAAAGATCCAGATGTCTACCTTTATTCATCACAAGCTAAACAACTAACAAAGATGGATTCAATCACGGACTAGCAGAAAAGAAAATTGCCCTTTTTTCAAACGGTTCACACCTTTAAAGAGGCAGCACGTGGTAATGAGCATAATGCTCAAGGAGGTTAACCAGTATACAAGCACTAAATGCTTTTGACCCCATCTTTGTTTTCATATTTCCATTCGATTTCTATTTGCGAAAATTAAAACCGTAGAAGCAACGGAAAAAGATTGCATAAGAATGACGAAAGACAAAACAGAAAGGCCTAGCATTTTGCGTGGGATTGAGTTCCGGAATACGAAGAAAGACGGCAATGAAAGCTTACAGTAAGCTGCAGAGAGCTGACCCGGAGCAAAGGGACAGTGAAAACGAGATTCGCGCTCCGCCCCCTCCACACTCCCTTACGGGACTTGTTTGGATTGCCCACGCCTTGTTACGTCGATTGGCTTCTAGGGTTTGAACGGCATTGCTGGATGATTGAAATGCCACTGTCAAAAACTCTAAACAAACATTTACTGCGTGTATATTATTATATACGAGTATAATATTGTCGGGCAGAAATGCCTTATGCCTGTAAGCTAACTCCACGTGTCCATAAAACAGAACTACTCCGTATTACGTACTACGTATAAAAATGTTAGGGAAAATAGCATTTTTAGTTTCGAAATAGTTATGAAAATGAAATGTCAGATCCATATTCTAATGTTTGTAAATGTCGCTCTTCAATTGTCTTAAATGTTGTAAATATGATTCTTTGAGGGGTGAAATATACAATATGGTCCTCAATTTGGACAATTGAGGGTAACATTTACAATATCAAAAATACGGGTCCGACATTTCTTTTTTGTGACTATTTCAGAGACTAAAAGTGAGATTTTCCCAAAATGTTATTGATACACATTTTATACTCCCTCCATCCCCCTAACTTTGTCCCGTTTTACCTTTTCTGTTCGTCTCATTAAGTTTATCTCATACCATATTTAGTAATATATGTGTGCTTACAATTCATTCTTACTTTATTCACACTATCAAATCAATATCGATCACACAATTCATTTTTTCTTAAAAGTTGTGTCACACTCCTTTGTTCCAAACATAGAGGGACGGGTAGTACATCTTATGAATATTTTCTACTTGAGAAAAATTATCAAATTGATCCTCCTACTTTATCACACTCCAGATCTTTGCACATGTTCGATGTTTATTCCAAATGTGTTCGAATGTGAAAATGATTGATTTAATCTCTCTGATCTCATTGTATGCAAAAGATAATGAGAAAAGTTCGTGAATCCCATGGTGGAATGGATATGAACTTGAGGAGCTAATAGAGCAAAGATCTGTAGCAGTGTCATTAATTGCACAAATTCTTCTCCAAATTGGTGAGTCTTCAATTTTAGGTCGTATGTTAATTCCTCTAGGATACCTAGCTTAGAAAAAATCTCACAATAAGAAGTATGAGTCTTCAATTTCCACCATAACTTCAAAGTATTGGCCCTTTCAACATCAATTAAGGATCTAATTCCCAGACCCCTTTATTAATAGGAAAACATAACTTTGACCACCTTCCCCAATGGACCGGACCTTATGTCTATCATCATTAGATCCCCAAAGAAAATAAGTCTTGTACCTTTCTAAGGTAGTAATAACTTTCTTAGGCAGAGTATATGTGGCTAAAATATGATTGGGTATTGAACTTAGAACATGTCTGATAAAAAACCACCCTCCAAGAGATAAATTCTTTTCTTTTCAAGATGCGAGTTTTGCATCAAAGTGTTGAAATAAACTTTTACAACATTGAAAATTTGAAACTTGTTCCGGTTAATATATATATGTCCTAGCAACAATCATTTTCGTATAGATATATGTACTTGATCACATTCAATTTTATATATTTAATATATACGGTATTACACATTAATGATTAAGCATTTCGATTCTCAATGTTTCATTCATAATTGTGTTCCATTGGACTTATGTTGTCACTAAGTAAGTGAGAGCTTAAATGATACTCCCTCCGTCCCTTATAATTTTGTCAACTTTCCTTTTTTGGATGTCCCATTAAGTTTGTCACTTTCCCATTTAAGTAAAGAATTTGTGGTTCCATTTAATTCTCTCTCCTATGCACAAACCTCAACCACACAGTTTTTACTTTACTAATCCCCGTGCCGGTCAAACTTGGCAAAGTTATTAGGGACGGAGGGAGTATAAAATAAGGTCCTAAAATAGCTCCAATCAATGATCATCAAGAAAGGGATATTGATGATATACGATAATTAAGATTGGTATGTGCACTGAATCATATTTTTAGAAAGTATAGTTGATCTCACAACTATGAGTTCTTGTAATTCATGATGGCCACATAGGTATTTTAGATAATATTGGCATGCATACCAATCGAGAAACCATTTGATAAGTTCTATTCATGTGTCTATGGGATTATCGGCATATAGAGTAGTCTAATAATCATCCGATTTGAGGTCAATACGTGCTTCATGTGTGGAGTGATGTACTTCTCATATCTAGATGAATCATAAACTCATTTGTCAATCCAAAGATACATTCGTTTTGGATATCGAATATGATGGATCATCTAGACATATTGAGAGGTAAAGACTAAATTATTTGAATAGACATAATATAAGGTTCTAGATTTAGTTGAATGTTCTTATTTGAATAGACATAATATAAGTTTCTAGATTTAATTGAATGTTCGTTGAGTGAAAGGACCGTATCACTATGAGCTCTATATTACAACCAGATTGAATAGTCCTCGCAAATGTCCTTATATATTAAGTTTGTCCCTAGAATCGTCTAGGGATTCACTAAGACTTTAATTATATAAGGCCATATGGGTCTTACAACAAGTGATTATACCTTCCGATTAATTGTTAGAAGGAAATAAATATTAATTCAATTAAATAATATTTAATTCCTAATACTGCAAATTGATTAAAAATATTAATTAGAAATAATGACTAAACTAATACCATCAGCTTCTCCTTGGACTGAAATATGCTTGGTTTTCAAATTGGACAAAAAAGTGACGATTTATATTTTAACAGACAAAAACACCCTTCGTATACGTACAATCTAAACCCCAAATTTCATCTTTTCATCGCTTCTTTCTTCCTCTGCAATCCGCATCCCTTCGTTTCAATCGCCGCTTATGGAGTTCAATTGTGAGACAATCTCCTCAGCTTCTGCCATTCAATCTCTGCCACAGGGGACGACACTACTGTCGCGGACCACCAGGAGTCTCTGCTCTGCTTCAATCGCCGCAGACGTGCTATTTCAATCTCCGATTTTTTCGCCATGTCCAGCCAGGTCGCTGCCGCCGCATTTACTCTTCTCCTCCATTTTCTGTCGATGGCGGCGATGGAAATAAACGAGGATTGCAGGTGAAGAATTTGATGGAGGAACCGACGACTGCGATTTGGAGTCGATGGCGGCGACGAGGACTCCAAACGTCGGCAACGACGGTGGCAGGGTTACCTTCGGCCGCATCTAGGGTGATGCGGTCTTTCCACGACTAGGGTTTCACGTTTTGCGGCAGTCATGGCATGGGAGGCTTGGGGCTGGAAAGGTGGTTGGGGAAGCTAGGGAGGGGGCAGCAACATGACGACAACGGCCATAGGATGGCAGCGGAACTAGCTGACGGTTGATAATTTATGTCCTAATGTTTGTAACTGTAACCTGTTTGGTCACTGAGCTATTTGTAATTGGTGTTGGGCATTGACCTATTTGTCACTGGGTGTTGTCGCTGAAGCTATTAAACAATTAGTCACTGCAGTTTGGCTGGTCATTGGATTCGGGTTGGTCACTGAGATCGGGTCACTGAAGTTGGGTCACTGGGAACATAGTCACTGTGACATAGGTCACTGTAATGTATTGGTCAATTAGGTCACTGTAACGGGTTTGTTGGGCTTAGTAAGGGCAAAATAGTGTGTTCAGCCCTTTTAGTCACATTTTTGGAATTCTTTAAACAACCACTTTTTGTCCATGAGTTAATTTTTAGTAATATAGGTGTTTTTTTTTTTTTTTTTACCCCGGAAGGCAAACCACCAAAATCAGTGGGGTAAATGCCGGGGGTCATTTACCATGATTTATTTAACAGATATGGATACAAAAGAGAGGGGGGCTAGGCCAATACCTCTCCGAAGAAGGCATTCCTTCCCAAAGTATGTGAAAGAAAATAAGTGAGAAACTGAGTCATTAAAAATTAAACACGGATACGAGGAATACCAAATAAATCAGCGAAATAACTAGTTCGGACATCTCTGGGCAAGTGATCCGCCTGATCAAAAGTAATCATTTCGGCTGGAAATATCTGACGGCCTGCTAGAAGATGGGCTGGTTCGTTCCCCTCTCGATACACATGACAAAAAGTCAGCCCCATCTCTTTCGCTCTTCTAACAAAAAGATTCAGCCAAGTATACCTTCCTAAACCAGCTTCGAGCACAGATATGGAACAAGCCGCGTCAGTTTCAACCTGAAACTCAGTATAACCTTTCTCCATCGCTACTTCAGAGGCATATACCAACGCCTTGAGCTCTGCCTCCTCACTTGAATCAGCCAGAATGTTGAAGCAGATGGCCCAAACAAGCTCGCCCGTTCGATTTCGAAGTATAGCACCTCCAAATGCCAAATTATGTACGAACGAAGCGTCGACATTCAATTTATAGTTTGTAGTAGGCCTTTTCCATTTGATAATCTTACATCCTGCCTTTTTGAATTTGAAATTTGCTGGAATCAGATGTTCATCAATAAGGAAGTCTTCAACACGCCTCTGCTTTAACTTAGTGAACTTGAATGCCCAATTTTGAGTGTAATGCTTAATCGACCAAATAACATCTTCTGAAGAAGAAATAGAAGTCTTGCCCCATTTGTAAGAGGAGTAATTTTTCCATATATGCCAACAAATCATCCCTGGCAAGTTATGTTTAAAAATATCCCCTAAGGTTTTCGAACCTGCTTCTAGCCACCAGTAAATTAGAACCTGTCTGGGGGAGGATTGGTCTCTTGGAAAAGAAATATTAAAGATATCCAGAAAGTACTGCCAAATCTTCCTTGTATAAGAGCAACCAAAGAAAATATGATAGGTTGTTTCACCATAATTTCTACAGAATGGACACATAGAAGGTCTTAATATGAACTGGAATCTTATTAAATTCTCAGGCATAGGCAGATAGTTGTTAATCAATTTCCACATAAAGATCTTTATCTGCGTATGTTGATACTTATTCCAAATGTGCTTATTTGTGAAGGTAACTGACTGAACCGCTCTTACCTCATTATATGCTGAAGATAAGGAGAAAGTGCCATGATTCCCAGGTATCCATTCCACTGCTCCAGCTGAATTAATATTACACAGATCACTGGCTATATCATGAATAGCACATAATCTTTTCCATATAGTGGAATCAGTAATCCTAGGTCTCATAATTATATTAGGTGTCCTAACCCCAATTAATTATATTAAACTATATTTAATTGATGATGTTGATGGAGAGTTCTATTTGATAGAATTAATTAAGATAAATTAGATTTATTACATTTAATTAAGATGTATTTATTTATTATTAAATAAATTGATATTTTCTTTTAATTTGGAATTAAAAGGAAAAGGGAAAATAAATAATTATAAGGATGGAGAGAGTGGTGTGGCCCTCTTCATCCTTTATTATTATTTTGTTTTGTTTTACTCTAGTATTTAATTAATGATAAGTATTGGTCCTCGTAGGACTATAAATCATCTATTGTTTTATAGAGTAAAACGCGGTTATAAACAACTGATGTTTATAATACTCCCTTCATCCCTTAAAACTTTGTTATCTTTCTCTTTTAATCAATATTTTGTGGTTTTTGTTATTTCTCTCACATCTGCACAAACCTCAACCACACAGTTTTTACTTTATTATTCTCCGTGTCGGTCAAACTTGACAAAGTTTTAAGGGACGGAGGTAGTAATAACAATATTATATATATTTTTAAAGCATTAAGACTCTGTTTGCAACCCCTTAATTTAAGTGATTGTGGTTTTTTCTAAGAAAAAAAGCACTTATTTTACCAAACATTACCAACTTTTACTTTCCCAGTTTTCGTGTAGAATCTACTTTTTACTTTTTCTATTACAAAAAAAATACTTATTTTACCAAACACTACCAACATTTACTACTAATCACTTTTTTTGCAAAGAATGTTTTTATTTAAGCAATATGGGCGGAATAATCGTTCTTCTATCATTATCAGTTTATCACACATTCCGCTTAATGTGACTCTACAATCTACATGTCAGTGGGACTCTATAGTACAACACAAACGTTACAATTAAATAAACTACACGTGAGTATGACTCAAATGAAGTAATACACAGATCAATTAAGGACTCAAATGAACTAATACACAGATCAATTAAGGACTCAAATGAACTAATTAGGGATGGCAATGGGGCGGGTTTGGGGCGGGTTTGGGGCGGGGGTACACTCCCCCATCCCCGCCCCATGTCTAAAAAGTTCCCCCCATCCCCGCCCCATCCCCGTTACTTCCAGACCCGCCCCATCCCCACCCCACCCCGTTGTCCCCCACGGGTGCCCGCGGGTGTCCCCATATAGGGAAAATCGTATTCTTAGTTCCTGAAATAGTCACGAAAATGAAATGTCAGATACGTATTTCTGATATTGTAAATGTCACCCCTTAATTGTACAAATTGTTGTAAATGTGGTTCTTTAAGGAGTGAAATGTACTCTCGCCCACATTGTATATTTCACCCCCTGAAAGGGCCATTGAGGGACGACATTTACAAACTTGGGAATATGGGTCCGACATTTCATTTTTGTGACTATTTCAGGGACTGAAAGTGCGATTTTCCCTTTAATTTATCGTATTTACATATACTTTAATCCATTATAAATATATGTGGAGCGGTTCCAATGAGAATGATGCTTAAGGTGAGAATGTGAGAACACTCACATTTAATCCAATGTGATACACAATAGTTCCCTTCTAGTGCACATTTGGACTTTGCTCAATACAAACTAATATAAATAATCACGGTGACACTTTTACAAATATATTATGCTTGGTATGAAAAAGTGCATTGTGCAAGCCCATTATGCGTCACATTGGGGATATATGTGGTGTTCGCACGTTCTCACATCAAGCATTGTTCTCATTTGATCCTAAATCTATATATATCTAAACAATGCAGATATTATACACACACATATGCAACCCTAGAGGAGTATTGTGTTTGTTAAAAGTTAATACCACCAATTTTAATAATTCTTCAATTTTAGTAAGTTTTGTGAATCGAAGACAGTTAAAGCAAAGATATAAGTAAATATATTATCATCATGTACGTCGTTTCAAAATTCTCAACAATTATATTACCATTAATTACATATTACATTTAAATGTGTGTGTGTGTATTTAATTATTTACTCACTCTTAAAACTCATATAACATTTATGATAAATATTTTTAATCATTAATAGCTTATTATTATTCTAGTATAATATGTATTAATTCATTAACCATGACTAAACCGTATACAAGTATGTATGTATATATGTATATGTATACGCGTTTGCTATATACTACATATAATTTAATTTAATATGTTTGTACATTATTTATATATGTGTATATATATGTTTGAGTATATATTTATAACGGGGGACGGGGCGGGGACGGGGCGGGTGTAGCTATTCCCGTCCCCCGCCCCATATTTTAACGGCGTAAAAATATCTCACCCATCCCCGTCCCCACCCCCGCCCCAAGCCCCACCCCATCCTTCCCCCGCGGGGCGGTTCCCCACGGGTCCCCGCCCCCATTGCCATCCTTAGAACTAATACACAGATCAATTAAAGTGATCATGTTTTTCTATTATCAGCCTTATTATTCAACTTTCTCACCAAACATTTGGATTTGGTGATAATCAAAATAAGTACTGTATGATCAAAGTTACTTTTTTTTTTACTGAATTGGCCGAATATACCATAGATGAACAATTTATCTATTTTTATATAACTATATCTATATTTTATGAATATAATATAGATAGTATTTTAAATATCTTTTTCATAAATCAGCGGAATTAGTCAACCCAGTCACTTCAACCAGAAATTCATAAATATCAGCAGAATCAATCAAATTAATCAATTTTAGTGTTACCAAACGAGATAATAGATGCACATTTACAAGCATTGGGGGATTAATACAGTTATTCATAAATAATTATATGCCGCTTTTATTTAAATCGAAATAAATAAGCCGCGATTCATGTCTACAGTTAATATGAACTAGTATTATACCCGCGCGATGCACGGGTCAAAATTGTTCTTATATTTTATTTATGTTGTTTTATCAATTAAAATGAAAGTACTAATGTATGTATCATATACATAGTATATGAATTAATTAAAGAAATTGACAACATAGAAAGTTGTACAAAGTACAAATATAAAATAAATATGTAGAGGTACTAAAGAAATACCGCATTTTTAAAAAATTCTAGTTAGAGGACATTTATTATGAACATACTTATAGTGTCTTTAATGTTTCTTGTCATTTTTTTTTATTTGATGTGTTCTGATTCTGACACAATAGATAATATAAAGTTAACCATCATAAAAATTGATTACTTAAAGAATAGCATCACATAAAAAGCAATTGAATCAGCCAGCCCGTGCGATGCACCCGGATGTAAAAGTCCTATTCTCAGGCAGATGACTGACAACTAAATTGAATCTATATTATCATGATAAGAAAACATTGATACCCACTTCAAGGAATTTTATTAATTCAGAATCCGAAAGATAGACGAATTATCAATTCAGGACATGAAAGATTTTGAAATGCATCGATATAGAATCTGAATGATGAGAAATTGTAAACTCAGTACCTGAACGATTGAAAACTATCAATCTAGGATCTAAGTTGTCATAAATTTTAATTTGTTTTTATTTTAAATTTTAAATATTATTTAGTTTTATTTAACTAATAAACTTTTGTGAAGAAAATTTTACCAAAAATTAATAATGGAATTAATAAAAAAATCAAACAAATCAAAACCTGTGTATGAAATGTTAGGTCCTAAATTGATAGTTTTCCATCATTTGGGTCCTATACCGATACGTTTCATCTTTCGGGTCCTGAATTGATAATCCGTCTATCTTTAAGGTCCTGAATTGATAAAATTCGTATTTCAATACAAATAAAAAATTTAAAAAGAGTAAAACGATAGTTTTAAAATTTGATGTTCTACTTCAAAAATTAAATATTTGAAGTAATTTTGACTGCCATTTAATTTGGTGATCTATATAGTTCTAAAGAGCCATAGTACATGGGTTAATAATAGAAAACTTCAAAAACGATACCTCACTCTTGCCCACGAAGTGCAGTTTTTATAGAAGACATCATTAGGGATCTACAATTTTAATCATCTCTTTTATTTGAGCATTAATATGGTATCCGACTAACCGCCATCTGCCCATCCATATAGAGAAGTTGCTCAATTTCTTTGTGTTGGAGCATTTTATCCATTAGCAACCGTCATTTTAATTTGTAAATGAGTTATTACAAACTGTCACTTATTGTCCACATGTATAAGGATAAAACGGCCATTCCGAAGAACTACCTAACGTGTCGTTCCATAACCTCTTGTGAGAAACTATCAGACGTAACTGATGAATTATATGGAGTATGTGTTTTAGTGTATTGCTTTTATATTATGCTCGGGTATTTTATCATAATAAATCCATTCGACATGTCTTTTTGTTAGTAAACTGAAGCACGTAACTCATTTAGGCGGGAAGAGTTATGCCGGTCCTTGGTGGTTTGGTTTCCCTTTTTATATTAGTATAGATGTACATTTAATACCACTAGGAGATTAATACGTTTATTCATAAATTTTGAAGGAAATTTGCATCACACATTAAGGATGATTTTATATGGACTCATTTTAGTCTCAGATCAGACTTAAACAGACCAAATCAAATAAGACTATGCTTTAAAAGACCAGACCAGACTAAACTTCCGCAATTGTAAAATACACAAAGATCAAACTTCTATAATTTAAGATTAGATTAAATCAAACTTAAACATGTCAGATTAAACCACATAAATTGAGAGCAGAAAATTTTGGTCCAAGTAAATCATCCTAAAAGAACTCCTAAATTTAGTAAGCAACTTGATTATATCTTACTTTATCAAATATAGTTGCTAATTTAAAGTTAAATAGTTTATCCGTATAATCATTTAAATGAGTCATCTTGATCATAAACATTTCCTAATAAAGTGAAAACTTTTATCTCTATACTTTTTGTGGGTGATATTGGACTTTACATCCCAAAAATTGAAGGAATAACAAAGTGCAAAGTCAAATGATTTTAGGAAAAATTGATAGTAATAATCCCAACTATTGGCGGTCCGCTTATAATAATCCCAACTATTGATTATTTAAGAATAATCCCAACTTTAGGGACCTTCCGCCAATAATGGTCCCTAAGAATAAATTCTTGTAGTTTCTAAAGTGCATGAGAAGAGATCTAGCAAGTAATGCCTATAAATAATCCCACCTTTTAATTTTTACACTTAATTTCTATTTAAAATTCACTTTTTATAGGAGTTAAATCTGATCATGGACCATTATTGGCGGATGGTCCCTAAAGTTGGGATTATTCTGAAATAATCAATAGTTGGGATTATTATAAGCGGACCGCCAATAGTTGAGATGATTACTATCAATTTTTCCATGATTTTATTATATTAAATAAGGTGCACACATTCTGAAAATGGGTGCAAAGTCGGATCAATGTCACTCAAAAATGGAGTGCAGAGTCAAATTCTCCTTGAAACTTAAAATCGTTGTACAAAAGAGGTTGAAAATCAGCCTAAATCTTAAAAATGCACACTGATTTTGGAATCTCTTGTGATGCAAAATCAGTTTTAGAGACACAATCATATAATTAAAATATATGAAACTAAATAAGATTTAAATCACTCTGGAAATAATAAATATTTAATATAAAGTGATTAACAACTTCTATTGCTGAAGATGGGAGGGAATATAGGTAAACCCTTTTCCTAAAATTAAAAAAAAAACGGATTATCTCTCTAAAGCAAATTTTTGTGAAAAGTTTGGTCAATATTATAAAAACTCTATATTTAATTTATTAGTTAAGGTTAGAGATTATTAGCGCCTTAAAACAGATTAATAAATGATGAGTAGAGTGGAAGATAATCTATATCTATATATATATTAAACCACTTAAGTCCCTTTCCCGCTCAAGCTTGAGGACATTTACGTAAATACATCTACGCAGGAGTTAGGGCTCTCACATTCTCGCTTATACACACTCCTTTCGAATGAGACTCGCCTATTCTTTCGACTTTGCAACGACCTTCATCAACTCGCATATACCTTCAACCCCAGACTTCTCACGGATTTGGAGTCTCGATTATAGCTCTATTAACTTCCAACGAATTCAGGTTTATCAGACTTCAACTACAAAGACTCCATCAACACCAAACTTGGTGAGTATTTATCTCAATTAGAGCTCTCTTTCGACCTCTTCTTCATCTTTGCAAAGCAAGGATAATCTCGCACACATTTGCTCCGGATACTCCTGCATGCTTTCTCCATCAAGGTTAGTTCAATTCTCTTACTGATGTTTATTTCCATCACATCTCATGTGAAGTGGTATTGATTTCTCTTTTTATCCGTTGTGTATTTATTTCTTTTACAGTTGTTATCACCCGGTTCTGTATTGTTTTTAGTTTTTTCATATGCGTTTTTTTGAGAGTTTTTGCAGGAATAAGGATTAATTTGAAAAGGAAAATTGGTCATTGAACTCTATAGTTTGCATATCTATTAGTTTTTTTAATGCTCTTCTACGAAACGAATTGTGAGTTTTTTTATAGCTAATGAACAATGTCATAAAAGAATTCTGAGTTTCTTTGTACTCTTCAATAAACAGACACACACATACAAGCTTATGGTGTGCTATCAGTTGCTTTTGAGAATTATTTTGAGAGTTTTCTTCTTATGCGTTTTTCTGAGAGTTTTTGCAGGAAGGGAGGATTAATTTGAAAAGGAAAATTGGTCATTTTAGTTTGTCTATTACTTATTGACCTTTTTTCCTTAGGATGGCCTCCATGCATGCCTTCTCCAAACACAAATGGGGCCATTCCCCCCTGTTGTTTGTATTCCAATATAGTCAATTCTCTTTTTTTTTTTTTTTTTTTTTTTTGCTTTTGCTGCAGGTTGTAAAATTTACTGAAACTATTTTCATATAACTGTTTTCTCTTCCATTATAAGTCTTATAACTATAGAGTACAATGATAGTAAATTTTAAAAATCATTTTTCCCGAGAGATACTATACTTAATTAAGAAAATGCACTCTCTGTAGTGTATATTTGAGCTCTATTTATTGCCTGACTTATGAAATTGGAATGGTACTAAAGATGGCTGAAAAGGAACTAAAGATTTCATCTTCTTAGATACTTCCAATAAAAAAACAAAGCAATCATCCCAACACATTGTTAATAAAAGTCAAAAGAAAGTACTAGGGATAAAAAACATTGATTAGTTTAACTCAATTACTCTGCCAAAAACACATGTAGAAAGGAAATGTTTAACATCTAATATAGCAGCCAATTTCCTTTCTATAAACAGACACACACATACAAGCTAATGGTCTGTTATAAGTTGCTTTTGAGAAATATTTTGAGAGTTTTTTCTTATGCTTTTTTCTGGGAGTTTTTGCAGGAAAAAGGATTAATTTGAAAAGGATAATTGGTCATTGAACTCTATAGTTTGCATATCTATTAGTTTTTTTTTAATACTCTTCCTTGATGCCAATTGTGAGTTATTTTTTACCTAATGAACAATGTCATAAAAGAATTCTGATTCTTAAAAAGTCATCACGAAATTGAAAATTAATGACAAATTTGCTGAGGGAATATTCAAATAACTTTAAGTATAGGTTGTATTCAAAGTTACAGGTTGTAAAATTTACTGAAACTATTTTCATATAACTGTTTTCTCTTCCATTATAAGTCTTATAACTACAGAGTACAATAATGGTAAATTTTAAAAATCATTTTTCCTGAGAGATACTATACTTAATTAAGCAAATGCACTCTCATTATCTCTTTATTTTCTTTATCTTTAGTTTGCATTTGAATGCCAACACCATCGAAAAAACACCCTAGCCGCTCAAGTGCCTCTTCTTCATGCAAATATAAAGAAGTTTTGGCTGTTTGGAAAATTTTCAGACTCCTATTCGCTTAATGGTTCTTTATCAAATGCGTTTAAATAATTCAACAGGTCTTCCATTCATTAAGGTATGAATGAAACTATAAATTGATAGACAAACATTTTCAATATGTAGCGAAATTAGTACGAGCATATCTTTTGAAAAAAAATTAATCTGCTAATGTGTGCTAACATAAGTTATTGAGTTATTCGAATTGGCGTTTATAAAATGAGATGTGTTGTTTGTGTTTGTCTCTACTGAGCATGTGTTCTATAAACTTTCTTCCTTTTTGTAATTTGTTCAAATGGCTATTTCAGCTTATCGATGTTTATTGCACTTGACCATGTGTACAATACCTATATTTGGGAAAACTTTTTTGATCTGCTTTGTGTTTCTTCTATTTTGTAAATGGTGCAAAGATTTCATTTTACACCACAGAAAAGGTGTTGTCTGGTGCATTTTCAGTTTGGCCAATTCATTGAAGGTGTGTCCATCGGGCAAAAAGGTACACTCCTTATTCTTTAAAGGTAAACAAGTTGAATGAGAAATTAATGAGTACGTTTCTCTAGGGTTTGTACCTCCTAAAATGTTTTACAAAAATTCTTAATATGCCATGGAGGATAGAAATGGAGGAAATTCTAAATATACGGGGTTTTGAAACTTCTATGCCATAACACGGACTACGGTTTAGGGTATGAAGATACGGGTTTTTGGAAAGTTGTAATCCGAATGAAATACTACAAAGTATTAAGAACAAATAGAAGCGATTTGGAAACCGCTATTCTGAATGAACAAAGAATAAGAAAAAGGTGGAGGCAATGTATAAATAACATCTCATATGACACCAAAATAATTACATATATAAAGTTTTTAAAAATTGAAGTTTTAACTGTAGGAGGTTTTGAGACCGACAAAAGTTGAAATTCATATATGCAATATTGGCGTCATATGAAAAAACTCATAGAAAGTTATGAACTTTGATACAAATAAAAAAATTACAACACTTAAAAGAAAAATGAGATTTTATTTTATACATGCCCCCCACCCTTTACCTATCTTATTGCCCTCATTCAGGATTGCCTATTCCAAATGGCATTTTTTAATTTTTCTTTACGGATTGACAAACTGAGAGCTCTTTCGAATTTTTGGATAGAAACTAAGAGCTCTTTCAAAATTCTATGGGTGATGGTGCATTGCCACTTTCCGAATCACGTAATCTCATAAACCCTAAATAGATTCCCTTTATTTTGCATTGCACGTT